ATTAGTTTCATTTTAAGTGTTATAGTAATAATGTACTGTATTTCTATTTTTAATAGAAAGTTTAGTAACTGGTAGAAATTGTTGTTGATTATTTTGCTTAAAATTCATTCTTTATATACTTTTCATAAATCAAATGCTAATTATATTTTTTGTCAATTTGTTTTTGACTCATACTGTGAATAATAATCAGATTAAAATGAAAGGTTTTTATGCCACCAATCCATTGGTCTTTTATCAGACCTCCCGATCCACTTCTTAATTAATGTTAAGCTTATTAAATAAATAATACTCAAAATATAACGATTTTAAGTGAGAGGTAACTATAATCTATAGTATTGTAATAGGAAATGATAGCTGCAATATTCTATTAGAAGTTAAAAATAGTCATTTCTTGTTTAATTAAAAGGGTATTCAATTTTCAATATACAGTACCAGGGTGATATACCTGTAGGTGATATCTACAGGAGAGCCACACCAGGTGAGAGGACTGTCAGTACTTCACACTTCAATTTATCACTCATTATAAGCCACAACAGCACTCATTAGGGGCTTCTTATCGGCAAAACAATAGTAATGTGGGTCTCAATCGACACACAATCGCATTGAATGAACAAAGATTGGTCTCATATGAAGCGTTAAGCAATGCATTCATAACATATAAATATATGCTCTAACATTGAATTGATTATTATTTAAACAAACTATACGAACACAAGTAATTATGGGAAATATAATGCAATTTGTATATTTATTGACCACATTAGTGGTGGTGAGCAATGGGGCTCAACACGACATCTCAACTCTTAAACTGTTGCAAATAGTGCATCGGCACGGGGATCGAGCACCGGCGGTTGGGAAACTTTTTTAATTTAAATTTTAGTTTTAATTATAATTTTTTAATCAGACATTAAATTTAATTGTCAATTATATAATTACTATTCATATACATTGATATAGGTTTGGACCAAAAAGGATCCCTTTAAGGACATGAAGTACTGGCCGGCAGGGTTTGGTGAGTTGACAGCACAGGGCAAGTATCGGATGTATACATTGGGACAGTTTTATAGACGGGAATACAACAGCTATTTGGGAGAGAGCTACTCGCCCCACGAGGTATACGTTAGGAGCTCTTCGGTGCACCGTTGCATAGAAAGCGCCATGAGTTTGATGGCCGGCGCTTACCCACCGAAAGGGGACTGGATGTGGAAAAAAGACAATAAGTCGGAATTGGGTGTGTCGTGGCAGCCCATTCCCATTGAGACATTCATTCCCAAATCACAGGACACTGTACTCGAAGGGGTAATGAAATACAAATGAAAACTAAGAGAATTACTATATGTTTGAAAACCCATTCATTTAGTACACCAAATGTAAAGCGGCTGAAGACGACCTCAATCGTGTGTACAATCAGTCAGTGATCCACGAGTTTGAGGCCAAATACAAGCAATTGTACGAAGAATTAACGAAAATCACTGGAAGTGAGATCAAGGATGTCTATACGGCTGTCGATTTCTACGACACGTTTCAGATAGAGTTTGATAACAACCACT